GATAGGGGGGTGGGTGGGGGGTGGGAGAAGGGCTCCCAGGTGCCCTGGATGAGGTGGAGCAAAGCCAGGGGGACACGTCGTGCTGCAGCCCAGACTTCCTGGATGTTCATTGTGGGAAGGGACCTTTATCCAAAGCAATGCCCTCAGTATTCCTGATGCTTCTCCCAGAGGCAACAGGATCCCAGGAAAGGAATCAAGGCACTGGGGGGCTTCCAGTGAGGGGGACGTCAGGAGGAGTTGGCCATGGAATTCTTCCATTCCATGAAATGAGGAAAACGAGGGGCTGGCACATGAAAGCAGGGGGTGAGGAGTTTCCAAAGTCTGCTTGTCTCTGATCTCTGCCCTCCTTGGCATGCAGGAATCCAGTGCCTCCGACTCAGACCCCCAAGCTCTGCTGCAGACCCTGAAGGTAAGTGCATAAATATCCTTCATCTCAGCCTCTGGCACCAGCCTCCAAAGGGAGAAGCAGTGCTGAGGCATTCACAGTGCTCGCCCTGCTCCCATCCTCAGCCTGTTGCTTTCCAGGACATGGATGATATGGAAGCTGATCTCCTGGGAATATCAAAACCCAGTTCTGGGCCAGGGAAGACGACTGTGAAAGGTCCTGGAAAACGTGACTCCTCTGGAGGAGCAGTGAAAACTGCAGAGAAGCTGTTAGCTCCTGAGAAAGGTAAAGAGATTCTGCTCTTCTTTTCCTAGACTGATTCCAAATGGGCAGGGGGTATTTTCTTCCAGGATAGGGAACAAAAAGTGGATTTGTTCTCTAAAACCCTTTTCCTGGTCCTTTCTGGGGCTGTCCCAGACACAGAGTGTTATTCTGGCTGTGTGTTCTCCTTTGGGAGATCCGTGGCTGGTCTCTCATCGTGGTGTGATAACATCACTAACATCAGCAGCAGCCACGGCCACGCTGCTGCCTCCCACCAAAGACCATTTGACCATTCCTTGGTGCAGGTCAAAGACCAGGAATCTGCATGGAAGGAGAGGCACAGGGGTTGCATTAAAGACATGCCAGTCTCCAAATTGCCCTGCACTTCCCCAAGCCCTTTTCTCCTCCTCTCCCTCCCTGGAGACCCCTCCAGAGAGATTCCCACCCCACAGGACTGCAGGGATACTGTGTCCCCCAATCTGTGCTTTTAGGGAGCTGCCACCAGAAAAGTGACCTTCAGCCAGAGTGGGAGAGGGGCATCTCTGTGGCACCTTGTCCCTGAGAGCTGTGGCATTTCTTTCCAGGAGAGTCTGCACCTCTGATGGAGAAGAAGCCACTCACATCCCCCCCTGCTGCCCGACAGTACAAGAAATTCAACTTTGAAGGTAGGATGTCACTTCACTTCAACACATAGATGCATGGGGGCAGCTGAGGACTCTGCCCTTGCTCTTTGCCTGTCGCTTGCCTCTTCTGTTAACTGAGGGCTTGGCTGGTTAATGAGATACAGAATCCTTCACCCCTAGGATGCTGGTGCAAATCTAATCCTTTAGACATGACCAAAGGAAAAAAAAAAATAAAATGATCATAGATGCATGGGGGCAGCTGAGGACTCTGCCCTTGCTCTTTGCCCGTCGCTTGCCTCTTCTGTTAACTGAGGGCTTGGCTGGTTAATGAGATACAGAATCCTTCACCCCTAGGATGCTGGCGCAAATCTAATCCTTTAGACATGACCAAAGGAAAAAAAAAAATTACAGCTGTGTGTTTGAGGCAGAGAGGCTGGGAGATGATTCCTGGGGGCATTTGCACTTTCACATGTGCTTTTGTTTTTAATAACTGTCTGTAACACTTGGGAGCCCTTGTATCAGGGGGGAAATCTGTCCGTCTTCCAAACAGGGGGGCAGTTTCCTGGCACAGCTGACACCTGGTTGTCAAAGTCTCTGCTTTGACCAAGACAAGCATCTGTTAAAATCACTAAGGCACTTTAGGTCATTCAGGTGATTTTGCCTAAACAGTGTTCAAGCATTGAAGCACCCACATTTTGAGTTATTTTCTTCTAGGAGAAAGAAATTGTGGAAAAACTGAACAGAAATGTAACTCTTGAGTGTTTAAAGTTCAGGGGGAGACTCGGAATATCCCAGGTCCCTGCAGAACCTGCATTCATGGGCAGACACCACCTCCTGTCCCTGTCTGCACGTGGTGGGGGATAGAGCTTGGCTTAGTGCAGAACTGTTCTTCTAAGTAACATTGGGTTTCTTTGTTTCTATTATTCTCCTTTCCTGCCCCTACGGGGTAATTCCCAGATTTAGATGATCCTTTGGCAGGGCTTTTATCTGATGAGGAGCAGGATGCTCCCAAGAAGCCAGCTCTGACAGGTGCTAAAAGCAGCTCTGAGAACAAAACAGAACGGAGCAAAGAGAAAGGTAAGCAGGGGTGTTCGGCGTGTCCTCTTTGTGTTAAATGAATCAGCAGCCTGGAGGTGTGTTTGTGTGAGGTCAGACTGATTAAATTGAAAGCCACCTGGTTCCATCTCTTATTAACCAGTATGGTCATTTATAGAGCGACTCGGTAACGGGGTTAATGTTGACACAGCTCACCAACTGCTTGACTGCCACAGGTTGCAAAACTGACCTTTTCTTTCTGAGAACTGGGGCTCAGATTTGGTCACTGAAAAGAGTTATTTAAAAATGACTTTGTAGATGGTCCTGAGAGATAAGAGCTAGCAGGCCTGCCTTGGTCTCTTCTTTAAAAAAATAATAAGAAAAGCCCTGATCAAACCTCTGCCCACTTGTGATCCCACCCACAGAGCCACCCCCACCCCAGACGCCCCTGCACACTGCGGCCCCAGCCCGAAGGAGAGAGGAGCTCACGTTTGAAGATGATGGTGACGACCTGATGGATGCACTGGGATTTGGAAACGGCCCAAAAGGAGATGAGAAGCAGGGAAAGAAGGCAGAAGAGTAAGGGCAGTGGAGAAAAGGAGTGGGTGGCTTGTGCGTTGAGATGGTGCCACTGTGCTGGGTGGGGGATGCTGGAGCTTCTGCCTGTGGGTGCCAGAAAGGGGCAGGAGCAGCCTCATCTTGCAGGGAAGAGCCAGAGCACTCTGGCAAGGCTAGGTGATGAAGAAACCCATCTGCCACTGTGTCCCCAACAGAGAGGAGCTCCGGCCAGCCCGCTCCAAGCTGGATGAGTTGCTGGGACGAGGCTCCGTGGCCAAAATCCTGGAACAGCCAAGCATGGGAGAGCACAGGGAGTTCCAGCTGGATAAGAAGTACCAAAAGCAGCCAGGTGAGCACAGCCAGGGACGCTGGGAAAGATCTGCAGAGGTCACAGCACTTGCTTGGGAGAACGAGATTGATTTCTAACGCCCTCACAGGGGAAATACCCTTTCTGTAGCAGTGAGCGGGGCAGTGCAGGGGGCAAGGTGGCTAATGCAAAGGTGGTGTAGTGTGCCCTCGGGGCAGCCTGGGAGCATTCACACAGTAGCCATAACTCAGTTCCTTTGGACTTGAGCTGATTCCCAGCAAAGACACTGTTCCCAGCCACACTGAGGAGGCACATTGCTCACGGGTTTCCAGGGAAGTTGTTTCCAGCTGTGTTTTCCCAGAGGCAGCGATCCCAGTGGGAATTGCAGGGGAGGAGGAGGAAGAGGAGGAGGAGGGCTGGTGTGTCTTTGTAGCCGGCTGCTCCTCTGGGTGCTGACTCAAGGCTGCTTGTCTGAACAGAGAAGGAAGAGGGTTGGGATGAGGAGGATTTTGTCTTTGGAGCATACAAGCCCACAGTGGCCTCCACACCTGAGGGCCGGCCGGCGAGGAGGCAGTCTGTGAGGTATAGTGTGCTCTGTGTGTCCTTGCTCCGGCCACGCTGGCCCTGTGGTGGAGCAGGCTGGCTCCCTGGGGTCCCCTTGCAGGCAGGTATGTGACTGCCTCTCCTTCCAGCAGGTTTTCAGCCGAGAACATCAGTGAACCGACACCAGAACCGTGTTCCAAACCTCCTCCTGAAGCAAACAGGAGCCCCGCGCGGGGCAGCAGGGCTGGAGGCGACTGGCTGGGTTTGAAGGATGAGGATTTTATGGATTCAGAACCACCATCTCCAGCAAAGGCCAGCCTGGCCGTGAGCTACCCCAGCCCTGCCGCAGCTGGGGAGCCCAGCCCCACCAGCCAGGGCCCAGATGTAGAGAAGGCAGCAACTAAACCTGGCCCAGTGGAGGAGGAAAACTGGCTGAGCGCCGCCCTGTCTCGCAAGAAAGCCCAGGCAAAGGCCCGGGAGGGAAGTGCTGAGCCCTCGGAGGTCCCAGGCAAAGGGCTGGATCCCTCCCGCTCTCCTGCCAGGTAAGAGGCACAGTCGATGGCCGTGGTGATCCCGGCTGCTCCACATGTAGTTGCTCCAGCAGGACTCCTCAGAAACCCTCAGCTCAGATTTAAGGAGTTAATTTTAAGCGCTACTTTGTCTCAGGTTGGGATAATAACAGGGTGCTTTCTCCCACTGATCCAGCCCATTACACCTCTGGGCTCTCCTCCCAGTTGTGGCCAAGATTGCACACACTGCCCAGGTCCCACAGAGCTGTCCTGGGTCAGCTCTCCCCGTGCTCCTCATTCCTGCCTTCATACCCCTTCGTTCCCAAAGGCCAGCCTGGCCGTGAGCTACCCCAGCCCTGCCGCAGCTGGGGAGCCCAGCCCCACCAGCCAGGGCCCAGATGTAGAGAAGGCAGCAACTAAACCTGGCCCAGTGGAGGAGGAAAACTGGCTGAGCGCCGCCCTGTCTCGCAAGAAAGCCCAGGCAAAGGCCCGGGAGGGAAGTGCTGAGCCCTCGGAGGTCCCAGGCAAAGGGCTGGATCCCTCCCGCTCTCCTGCCAGGTAAGAGGCACAGTCGATGGCCGTGGTGATCCCGGCTGCTCCACATGTAGTTGCTCCAGCAGGACTCCTCAGAAACCCTCAGCTCAGATTTAAGGAGTTAATTTTAAGCGCTACTTTGTCTCAGGTTGGGATAATAACAGGGTGCTTTCTCCCACTGATCCAGCCCATTACACCTCTGGGCTCTCCTCCCAGTTGTGGCCAAGATTGCACACAGCACCCAGGTCCCACAGAGCTGTCCTGGGTCAGCTCTCCCCGTGCTCCTCATTCCTGCCTTCATACCCCTTCATTCCTCCTACTTCCAGGCAAACCACCTCCTCCATTTGAGTTTACACGGACACAGGTTCAGGCTTGTGCTGAGGTGGCTGCTGCCCAGGGGAAGGAGGTGGATGCAACAGGGAGGAACAGTGATGATGGAGGTTTTGGGGGTGCCTCTGCAGCCAAAAGGCTAAATCCTGCTGCAGCTGAGTGGGACAGAGGCTTTCACCTGCGAGGCAGGAACTGGTGTTGGGGGAAAGGATGTTGTCTTTCATCACTTTGGCTCTTCACATAGGATGCTTTTTGCTTGCAGCCAGGCAGCCACCTCCACAGGAGCACCACAGCAGGCAGCTGCCCTGCAGGACAAGGCAGTGAGCACGGATGGCTCGGGGTAAGGCCTCTTTTGTGTTTCAGTCCTACTCCATGGGTGAGATTTCCTGCAGAAAGCAGCTCCGTGGGTGAGATTGGGGAATGGGGAGAGCTGGGAGTGAGCAGCGATCACTTTGATACGGGATCTCTGTAAGCTGGGAGGGAAGGCAGCTCTGAAGGATCACCAGGCTTTTGCCTCTTTGATCACAGTGGAACAGCCAAGCTTTAAACTTAAAGAAATGCCAAGCAGGATGATGTCTGTCGTCTGTCCCTGCGCTGTGACACTGCTGTGTGTCACTCGTGTCTCTGTGCCCACACAGGCAGCCAGTCCCCTGGCTCAGCACCGCCAAACGAGCCTCAGCTCACCCGTCAGAGGCTGCGAAGGGAGATCCCTCCAGAGACACCAGCGCCCTGGGTGCGTTTCATGTGGTTGCACAATTTGGGCAGGAGTACGTGGAGAGGGTCTCCCTGCCCTGCTGGGGCAAGTGGAGCAGGACCCTTCTCCCTCTGCCCAGGAGACACAGGCCCTCGTCCTTCTGGGAGGGGATGGTTCCCATTGCAACATCTGAATCATGGACTTGTTCAATTTTCAGTGCCCACGGCCTTGATCCCAGGAGAGCAGGAGACACAGGGCCCTGCCCTGCTCGCTCAGGTAGGTCTCTTGGTCCCGTGTCCCCAAGAGATGGGGCGTCAGGGTGGTGACTGCAAGCCCTCCCCTGCCAACTTGTTGGCAATCCAATGCTGTCCGTGCTCCCTGGGCAGGAGGAAGGATGTGCCCTGCTTTGCATCTCCATGTTCCTGGAGGCAAAGTGTTTGGAGATGCCACAAGTTGTGTTTATCAGGGCAAAGCCCATGTGCTATGGATGCTTTGTAAATCTTGTGCATTTACAACCCTGCACTGCCTGAGCAGCATTTCCATAGTTCCCCAAGCATATATATATTATATTAATTAGACAACAGAGAGCCCAGCTGATAAAGGACTTTTTCTTCAGCTGGTTTTCCCCAGTGTGGTGGTGAAGATGCTCTGAGATTGTTCCTAGACAGCTGAAGGGGAATCAGAGCCTCTGTCAGAGAGGGCAGGTTGCTTGGTCTTTGAAGCCTCCATTTCTCATCTTGTTGGGCCTCCTCCTCCTGCCCTCATGGCAGGACACACGCTGTCTCTCAGAGGACTCCTTAATTCTGTCCCCAGAGAAGGAAGAGCCCAGCATGCTTGTATGTGGGGTGGGGGCTGCTGAGCATCACCTGAGGAGAAGGACCCCAGGCCAGCAATGGGGTTGGGCTGGAGAAGGGTAGAGGAGGGACCACAGTAGGTGGGGATGGATCGCTCTTCCCAGCTTAGGAGATGTTCTCCCCAGGACTTTACCTCCCTGAGAGCATCCCCGTGTCTCCACAGGTTACCTCACCCAGGACACATCTCCAGGCTGCCCCACTGCTGCAGGTGAGGGATGTGGCTTCCTTTGGGAACCGATGGTCTCCAGGCTGCCCCACTGCTGCAGGTGAGGGGGATGTGGCTTCCTTTGAGAACCGATGGGGGGTGGGGGCTGCTGAGCATCACCTGAGGAGAAGGACCCCAGGCCAGCAATGGGGTTGGGCTGGAGAAGGGTAGAGGAGGGACCACAGTAGGTGGGGATGGATCGCTCTTCCCAGCTTAGGAGATGTTCTCCCCAGGACTTTACCTCCCTGAGAGCATCCCCGTGTCTCCACAGGTTACCTCACCCAGGACACATCTCCAGGCTGCCCCACTGCTGCAGGTGAGGGATGTGGCTTCCTTTGGGAACCGATGGTCACACCAAAAAGCCACTCATCTTGAAGGGCCTTCATCTTCTCTCTCCATCCCCACAGGCAGAGTCCCCAGCTCTGGGCTTGCTGCACGAGAGGAGTCTGGGGACTCCTGCAGCCCAGCTCCATGAGGATGCGACGGGCTGTCGGGCAGCCCTGCTCAGTGCCCAGGCCCGTGTGGCAGAGCTGGAGAGCCAGGTGAGCCCCATTGCCTGCGGGATGGGAGTCCACAGGTGACCCAGGGGGAGGAGAAGGGGCCACATCTGCTCCAAATAGCACCAGCGTGACAAGGGACAAGACAAACCTCCCTGTCCAGAGATGCCTACTGCCACCAAGTGCTGCAGTGGGAGCTCTGTTCCTGGGGTGGCACAAGGACCTTCTCCCTGGATGCCTGACAGGTCCGGATGCTGGAGCTGGAGCGGACGCAGCACAAACTGTTGCTGGAGAGTCTCCAGCAGCGGCACCGGGAGGACCTGGATCTCCTCGAGAATGCCCACAGGTACCAGGCTCTCGCCTGTGCTCCCCTCCTGTGTCATATCTTTGCCTACAGCCCTGTCCATCACCCCTGGGGTGGCAGTGCTGGGGCACTTCCCAAATCCCTCCCTGGGGCGGGCAGGCACAGAGCCATGTCAATAGGGACGTGGTGGGGGCAAAGAGGAGCCCCACAGGTGAGCCAAGGTGGGGTTCCACTCTCACCAACACTATCCCATGGATGACAAAGGGAAGGGGCCAGTCCAGTTGCCAGCATGTCCCCAGCCAGGGCACCGCAGTGGGTAGAAACGGGAGGGTTCAGGGCTCAGACTGTGGAGAGCGAAGCACCCTGTGCCTCAGTTTCCCCACGCGCACAGCAACGTGGATCTGCTCTTAAATCCCCCATGTGCACTTTGGGTGGAGAATGCTGGGTATTGCCATGAAAGCAACGCTTCTTCCTTGCTGTGTTCTCCGCGGGCAGGAGCCGGGTGAAGGTGGTGGAGGAGGCCTACGGGCAGCGGGAGGAGCGGCTGCGGCAGGAGAAGGAGCAGCTGGCAGCTCAGCTGCTGTCACAGAGCCAGGACGCGGAGCAGGCACGGGCAGAGCTGGTGGCACAGCACCAGCAGCGCCTGGCAGCGCTGGAGCAGCAGAGCACCCTGGAGCTGGAGCGGCTGCGAGAGCTGCAGAGGTGAGAGTGGCATGAGCAGCACGCAGCTGGGGCTCGTCCCCCTTCTTTGGCCAAAGGGACCAGGGAATGGGGACATGATGAAAGGAGAAACCAGACTCCAGAAGCTGTGGGCAGGTGGGTGGCTTTTGGAATGGGGATTTGCTTTGTAGGTAGACACAGGGAGGTCTGGCTGAAGAGCGAATGCATTGTGGCATGAAATACGCTGAATCCAGTGTTTCATTGCCCCCAAATCCCTTTTATTCAGGTCAGTGAGTCACTGATGTCCACATAGTTTGGGTCAGCGAGGAATCAGCTTTTGGTAGGGAAGGCCGTAACCCCCAGATGTGATCCATCCCAAATGTGGATGCCTGTCGGTGGGATGTCCTGTGACAGAGCACTTTGCCACTCAGCTTCTGGGGCCTGGTTCTCAGCTCCATGGCCAAGCCTCTTCCACGGTGCCCATCATGGGGAGCACCAGTTTGTAACAGCCCCTGGTGGGCTCTTTCCCCGTGTCCTGCAGGGTGTCTGTCCAGGAGATGCGCAAAGACCACGAAGAGCAGCTCCAGAGGCTGAAACGGCTGAAAGACCAGGAGATTGATGCAGTGACCAGTGCCACTTCGCACACCAGGTACCAATGGCTGATGTCATATCCCCACGGTATTACCTATCCCACGGGGAACCACTGGGACCCCAAGGGGAACAGGGGCCATCCCCTCTCCCACCCGTTGCCTCCAGGGAGCTGTTTAATATCTGCCAGTTCTCCCCTAAGCAGCAGCTACATCTTCCTACTGCTCTGCCATGACCCAGAGAGGTTTGGGCAGGACCCACCACACATCACCCTCTCCATCGTGGTGAGACGAAGCGTCTCCCACGGGGGTGACCTGCCCCTCGCTTCCCTCTGCAGGTCTCTGAATGGTGTCATTGAGCAGATGGAGAAGTTCTCCAGCGACCTGCATGACCTCTCGCACAAGGTGGAGGCCACGCACCACAGCACCTCCCATGAGCGGGACCAGCAGCTCAGGGGTACGTCTGCCATTCCCCTGTGCCAAAATGGCTGTAGGGTCCCCGCTGGGGCTGGGGACACCCAAAAACAGGGAAGAAGTTGGGCTCTGAATCAGCCAGAGGCTGGGGGCCCAGACTGGCAAAGCCTTGCCTGCCTTGGTCACTGGACATCTCAGGGTCTCCCTCTTACAAATTGGTGTCCTGGGGATGTGGAGAAAGTGATGAGCACAAATGGGTGCAGCTTTTCCGGGAATATGGTGTGGATAGAGCAGGGTTTCCACCTCATTCTGCTCATGGCCCTGCTTCTGTCTCTCCCCAGTGCTCCAGGACAGGCTATCTCAGCAGCAGAGGGACATGGAGGAGGAGCGGAGCCGTCTCCAGGAGGTGATTGCCAAAATGGAGGCGAGGCTGGGCGAGCAGACTCGGCTGCTGGAGCAGGTGAGCCCACGCTGTGTCCTCTGCCCGGGTCAGCCCTCCTCTGCATATGTCTTGCCCACTGGAGGTGGGACAAGTGAATGGCATCTGTCTCTCCTCTGTGTCCTGACCCAGGAGCGATGGAGGGCGACAGCAGAGCAATCCAAAGTGGAATCACTGCAGCACTCGCTGGAGGAGCAGCGGCGAATCATGACCCAGCAGCTCTCCATGGAGCGAGCGGAGCTGGAGAGGGCGAAGGTGAGGTTGGCCAAAATTTCCAGGTGCTTTTCACATGAGTCTTGAGTGGGGCTGCACCGCCGTGTGTGGTGGGGAAAGAGCTTAGTGCTTTCTCCTTCTCTCACGATGCTCTCCAGAGCGCTTTGCTGGAGGAACAGAAGTCGGTGATGCAGAAGTGCTCGGAGGAGCGGCGGAAGCTGGCGGCCGAGTGGGCTGAATTTCACACCCGGCAGCAGCTGAGCAAGGAGCGGATGGAGCGTGACATGTACCGAGCCCTGCAGATGGACTCCCAGAGAGAGGGCACCATCATGAGCCTGGCCAAGGTACCACGGCACAGCCCCTGCCCGTGGCCTCCAGCACTGCCTGGTGGGCTCACGGATGGGTCCTACCCACAGGGGTGATGTTCACCGTTGCCTTCAGGTGTTTAAAACAGAGATGTCACTTGGGGTGGTGAGAATCAGGCTGTTCTAGGAACAGTCTCCACCAGCCTGTTCTAGATGTTGACTGAAGCATTAGTTGCCTCTGTCTGTCCCCTTTGCTTGTGAGGAGTTTGGGTGGCCAGACCAGGTGTAGCTGCCTCTCTTGTAAGTCTGGTGAGAGGAAGCCCCCATGGTGGGTAAAGCAAAACTTCCCTGTGCCGTGGGGATGTCCAGAGCTAGTTCTGCTCCCCCCTGGAGTTGTCCAGAGGGGATATGTGACACAGAGAGTGGGGAAGAGCTGCATTTTGAAGGGCTACCAAGGTGGAAAATAACTCTTCAGGCTGGTATTTCCACTGCTGGCAAACTGCTGTGCCTTGGGTGTGTTTTAGGATGTGCAACACGGTGAGGGGGTCTGTCCTTTCTGGGGTCCTTCCGTGTGTGTCTGTACAATCCCAATCTCTGCCAACCCTGGTCCCCAAGGGTGGGTGGATGAGGGTATTGCTCGAGTACCTGGTGGTCTTGCTCTGTACCCCAAACTGGCACACACGAGAAGCTCAACAGGGGCAGATCTCTCCCATCACCTGGGAAGACATGAGATGGTGTCCAGGACAGGGCAGGTAATGCATTGTTTTCCCCCGTGTCCATCCTAGGAGCAGGCAGAGCTGAAGATTCGGGGCCATGAGCTGAAAGCCAAGGAGGAGCAGCTGGTGAGGGACAGGGAGCTGCTGGAGGAGGCCTGGCAGGAGCTGAGGCTGGAGAAGGAGAAGGTGAACGGAGCTGCGTTGCGCATCCGGCAGCGGGAGAAGGAGGTTAAAAACATGACCAAGGTAAGCGGAGCGTTGGCGCTGCAGTTCTCAGCTGGACACAGGCCAGCAGCACAGCTGGGCTTTCACACCCCTCCCAAAGTGGTGAATCCTAATCTGACCATCCCGGGAGGGGAATAAGGGGGTGCACAAAGGAGCCCTGCCCCAGGGCAGTGAGGGTCCCTGTCCCCAGCCTCCCCAGCCACTCTGCCTTGCAGCTTTCATCCCAAAAGTATGAGGAAGGGGAGCGAGCCCTGCGGGAGGCGTGCAGGATAGAGTCCGAGCACCAGAGCAGGCTGCAGGTCATGCAGCAGCAACTGGAGCAGCTGAAGCAGCAGGAGCAGCGTCTGCAGCAGGCAAATACCCCCTCACCTTCCCTTTTTGGCCTGGGGCCGCCATGCCAAGGGCCTGAATCTTTATCAACAGCTTTTCTCTCTCTCCCTTTCTCCTGGGGATGGGGCAGGAGCGGCTGAGCATGGCTCACCAGAGGAGACAGCTCGAACAGCTTCGCGAGGAGCTGCCCAGCAACCCCATGATGCTGCCGACTGCAGAGCAGGACCTCAGTACTCCTTCAAAAGGCCTCTCCAGCACGTTGTGTAAGGCTTCCTGCATGCTGCTGGTGGGAAAGGACATGCTGGGGGGGGGCAGCTGCACTTGTAGAGAAGCTGCACTTCTCAGGAGGCTTGGGGTGCTCCTGAGGGCTTTTAAAGTTCCCCTATATATAAACTTCAGTTGTGAATTGGGCTCCTCATCTTCTGAAGGAGCTCAGTGGAGCTCTCTGAGCCAGGACCGTGCCAGGAGGGGGTGGAGGGGGCAGGAAGAGGGAGATCCAGGTGGGTTAAAGCCTGTTTGCACTGGGAGGTTGGGATGGACCCTACTGCAGGGACTTGCAGGCAGCAAAACCAGAGATGCTCTGTTTCCATCCGCAGTTTCTCTAACAGCAGCAGCACCACGAAGTTGGGCTCTCCTTCCAGGCTTTTCACCTCCTGTCAGGGAGCTCCCTCAGCACAACCTGGGGGATAGCAGGGAAACCCTGGCCATGGCCGGCCCCACCGAACTCTATGCCAAACTCCTGCTGCTGAAGCACAGGGCCCAGCAGGTGAGGTGGTGGGAGACCGGGGCTGGAAGGGACTTCAAAGCAGCTGGGTGGGCACAAGGCTGGGTGAAGCCTGATTTGAGGCTGACAGGCCTCCTAAGATCATTACTGAGCCGGTGGGCTTGCAGAAGCCATGGGCACCTAGAGGGGTGATACCAGAAGCAAGGATGAGTGGATCCTCACGCCTTGTTTCAGGTTTATCCATAACATCCTTGGCTCGATGGGGTTGCCCCTCTTCTCACCCCCTCCCTGGGTGGGGGAAGCCAGCTCTGCTGGACTCTAGTTTCATGATGTCCCCATCCTCTCCCATCAGCTCCCTGCTGGGTCTTTCCCCAGGCAGGGATGCTCTTGGAGGCTTCCTCTGTGGGTCTCACTCGGAATGTGAGGTTATAGGCTCTTGGGGGGAGCCCTTACACCCCAGGGGGTACCATGGATGGGTACCTGCCCACTGCATGAAGGAGGGTTTGGGATCCTTCCCTCACTCATGAGAGACATCCTGGACTGTGACCCCGTTTCTGTGGCGCTCTCCGATATCCATCCCTTCCCTCCTTCCTCTCTTCTCAGGACCACGATTTCCTAGAGAATGAGCAGTTCTTCCTGGAGACCCTGAAAAAAGCGTCCTACAACACTTCATCTCTGTCAGACTGAGGAGGTGGCGTCCCCACATGCAACCCCAAGGGAGGGCTGTGTCCGTCCTCACAGGATGCTGCTGTGCCCTTCACATGGGGGAGGAAAACAATAAAGGAACTGTTCTTTTTAAAAAAAAAAACCGTCTCAAAGTGGTTGGATTGTGAAATCCATTCCCATGGACTCCGAAGCCATGTTTTGTCAGGCCTCCATCCCTCAGCAAGTGCCACTGGACACCTGGTGGGGCTACTGGGATGGAGGTGCCTTCTTGGATGTGGATTCAGCTGGCCATGCCCCTGGCTCTTGGACCAGCAGCTGCCTGGCTGTGGCAACCAAAGGTGTTACGGGGCACCACAGAGGTGCAAGGCAGGGCACAGCCCCTGGCGGGGCTCCAAGCTGTGCCCTGGGGCTGTGCTGAAGTTCACCAGCACCTTGAGCATGTTCCACAGCTCACAGGCTTTTACTTTTTGGCCCTCTTTGTGAAGAAACCTGGCTGTTGTGCCGGGCTTCACCTCCCCTCCCTGCTGCCCTGCTGACAGCAGGGCCACCCTGCTCCCTTCAGCGGGCCCAGAGGAGCAATGGCGGAGACGTGGCCCGGGGCGACGGGGACAGCCCGTTGCTCTGGGGTCATTTCTAGTCAGGCCCTTCAGCGGGCAGCCCCGTTGCTATGGCAGCGGGGGCTTTCCACGCCAGGCCCTGCGCGGCGCAGCCCCCCCGTCGCTATGGTAACGGGGGCCTTCCACTGAGGGCGGCGCGCACCATGGCGGCGCCCTTGCTGAGCGCGGCGCTGTGCGGCGTTCGGAGCGGGCGGGCCTTCGGCACGGCTGGTGAGACACGGGCCGGGGAGCCCCGGTTCCCCGTGAGTGGGAGTCGTTTGGAGTCGGGGAGGGGGACGGAGGAGGGAGCTGTCGGACGCCTGGGTTCTCCAAGCGTGCCTGGCGGGGCCGGCTCGGGGAGGCGGGGGTGGTTCTGGCCCGGGACGGCGCTCCCCGCTCTTCCCGGGCTCTCTCGGCCTCGTTTTTTTGCTCTCTGTGTAAAACGGGAACTCTCTCCGCTTCCAGCTGCGCTCTGCAAGCGGGCAGCCCCGCTGGGGCCCATGCCCAACGAGGATATTGACGTCAGCAACTTGGAAACGCTGGAAAAATACCGCAGTTTCACTCGCTATTTCAAACTGGCGGAAAAGGAGAGCAGGAAGCCCCGCTGGTGGAAGACGTACTGGCAGCACACCAACCCCCAGCCAGGTACTCGCGGAAGGAGCTGCACAGCACGGTTTTGCTGCTGAGGGTCCATAGGTTTGTTGTTGGGACCATGGGTTTGCCCCAAAACCCACCCTGTAGAGAGCTGATGGGATGCTTTGGCATGAAGTTGGCCCTTCTCCCATATAGAAGCTTGCAGAGCACAAATATCTTCAAGGGAATAGATAGCAGTTCTCTGGAAGGAGGGAGGCCAGGACCTGCCAAAAGATATGGAGCAGGTTAAAGAAGTGATTCCTTGACACCCCAATAGCATCAGAGAAAGCAGATCAGGAACCAGAGCTTTAGACCAGCAGCAAAAAATAGAGTTTGGTAGCTCTGCTGAGCAGCTGCAGAGACCAGACCTGCTCACCAGCTGGCAAACCTCTGGGCTGGGGCTGTGCTGAGCTGGGGGAGGAGGAGGGAGCAGAAGCATGGGGGAGGAGAGGGAAGGCAGAGGTGGTAGAACTGAGTGATGTGTGAAAAAGAAGGAAACCTCAAGACAGTCTCTAACATTTTGCAGCAGTTTTGTGTTTGGGTATTTCGGGTATTAGCGTTTCTCACATTGATGATTTTCTCACCCCTCTCTGAAGAGCCAAAGACCGACATCAGCCTGCCACATGGTAAGCGGCTGCGGGCAAAGGAAATCAAGGAAAGAAAAAAGATCCTGAGGGAAAACCGCCAGAATGCTGAGATGGAGAGAGCAGCGCGGCTCCGGACTGGTCTGTACCCTCCCACCTCCCTCCCTCCCTGCCCCAGCTGCTCGGTCCCCAGCTGCCTCCTGCAACGTTTCTCTCTCCTTGCAGCGCTCATCCCCCTCGATGAAGTCCGAGCTGAGTGGGAGAAGACCAGTGGCCCGTTCCACAAGCAGCGTGTGGCAGAGCGTTGCGGGATATTTCGTGATTTGTTCAAGGGGGCCACCTTCACCCCCTGGGTTACTTTGAGGGTGGAGTACAACCAAGAAGACGAGCACTTCGTGCCAGTCTATTATGGCAACATGGTGACTCCATCTGAGGTGTGTGAGGGGAGCTGGGAACAACCTTAACCTCGTGGGGAGCCTGTGTGTTTTTGTCAGATGCTTCTAATGGGCATTGTCTGCTCTGAGGGGTTTCTTTTACAGGGGTATTTCCCCAGTGATGAAGGAAACACGTTTCTTGGGTGTGCTAAGAACAGAGCTTTGAAACAGGATTGTTGTCTGCTGGCAGGCTGATGTTTATTAATGCTACTGGGGTGTTCTCCAGGTGGAGCTGGATTACTCGGTGGCATGACCATGACAAGTTTATATTCTTTCCTTAGAAATCATGACATGGTCTTAATGGAACCTTTTGTCTGACTGATTTATATTCTCTTTATGTTGCTCCTTTAGGCTTCTAGTCCCCCTGCAGTGTCCTATGAAGCAGGTAAAGGCTCCCTCTGGACTTTGTTGCTGACAAATCCAGGTGAGTAGCAAGTTCTTTAAAAAGACCTTATTTAAACTGGGTTATTTCAACTCTGCTTTTGGTTAGGTCCTGTTTCTTTTGGTTGCACGTTATCTTCTAATTAGAGATGTGTTACATACACATGTATTTGGGGAGGTTGTAGCCTCCCTAAATCTCTAGCAGCTGAGATGAGACAGTGATGCAGTGGGACCTATGTCACAGTGTAGGGGAAGCAATTCCCTGACTCCCATCTCTTGTTTGCTCCCAAACTCTTCTCTCCCTCAACAATCTGCCAGGGAGGTAGGTTAGCTGACATTGTTCACCCTGAGAAACCAAGGCACAGTGAAGCAGCTGACCAAGAAATCCTTTTAATCTTGGAATTAGGTCTGTAGAGTTCTTTGCTCGATCCTATAGGAATGAGTTAGTTTTCTGCTAGGAGGGGGATGCTGGGAGGTCTGGAGCTGCCCCCTCTGTTCAGCGGGGGGCTGGGTGTCCTCACTTTGGGGTTGATGAGAACACCAGGTTGTCACTAAGTCGACTTTTTCCCTTTTGTGCGTTTGCAGATGGACATTTAAGAGACACGGAGTCGGAGTACCTGCACTGGCTGGTGTGAGTACTGCACATCAGTGCTGCTGAGCTCAGGGAAAGCCCGGGTAGAGAGGACAGAAACTCCAACAGAGCTCGGGAATAAGCATTTGCTGAGACAGTTCCGTGGCTTTCTCTGGTGCTCCTGCTGCATTACCCCTGTGTTCTGGGTTCTGGGTCCTGCTAAAGATGCAGTAGTTCCAGGTGTTGCTGCTGTTGGGCATTCACGTGGCAGGAGGTGTTTTTTCTTCCAGTGGAAACAGCCTCCTCTAGTCAAACAGAGTGTAACCACATCGAAACACAGCACGGGGTGACTTGCAGTCCTGGGTGAATCTCCCAGTCCCGTTGGAGGGAAGTGGGTGGAGATATATTTATATATATAAAATGAAGTAAACTTCTTTGCGTTCAGGACAAACATCCCAGGCAACGACATCAAGTCGGGTAAGGAGATCTGCCACTACTTGCCCCCCTTCCCTGCCATGGGAACTGGCTACCATCGCTTCATCTTCCTCCTCTTCAAGCAAGACTGCCCCATAGATTTCAGCGAGGATGTTCGGCCAACGCCATGGTAATTCAGGCTTTCACACAGCAGTTTCACACTCACTTGGCGAGGCTGTTACTGCTTGTTATGATGACGTGTTTATTACTGCTGTAGGAGAGCAGTTCCTTTTAATCTGCAGGGCTGTTTGGGGTTTGGGTGTCACCTGAAGCCAAAATCCCAGCCCTGCAAGCAACGCGGAGTCCTATTGCTTTAAAGCAGATTGTTAAGAAGATGTTTTTTCCTGCCTGGGGCAGGAATGTGCACGGAGCTGGAGGAGCTGGAAGATGTATTTTAGCGACTTCCTTTTCCACCTCTGTTTTATAGACTCTGAGATGATGTGGGGAGGTAGTTGCCTACCAGCGCGCTGCAGGAAAAGAGAATCACCTCAGCTCTTGTGCTTGTGTCTCCTTTCCAGCCACAGCCTCAAGATGCGAACCTTCAGCACGTTTGACTTCTACAGAAAGCACGAGGATGCGATGACCCCGGCGGGGCTGGCGTTCTTCCAGTGTCAGTGGGACAGCTCCGTCACCTCCGTCTTCCATCAGCTGCTCAGTAAGAAATGCAGGGTGTGGGGGGTGCTGGAAGGGGGGGCCCATCTGTGGGGTGGGACGTGGCCTTGCGGGTAACACACAGGGTCAGGGAGCCAGCTTGGTCCTGGCACTTGTCCAGGGTCTGTTACAGCACAGACCGGGTACTTAGGGAGCCATCCTCCACCAAACTAACAGCAGTCTGAGGAAACAAGCTCTGAAAGGCCATTTTGAATGAACGTTTTAAAATATCACCAAGAGAGCCTTTGCCACATGTGTGTGGGGGAGGAGGGGGGACCTTGCTGATGAAGGAGGGGGTCTGGGGCTTGGATCTGAGCCGTATCACTAACGTTCTGCATCACCCCTTTACAGACATGAGGGAGCCTGTGTTTGAGTTCGTGCGGCCGCCCGTTTACCATCCTCCACAGTTAAAGTTCCCCCGCCACCAGCCTCTGAGGTACCTGGACAGATACCGAGACACCCAGGAGCCCACCTACGGCATTTATTAGGGGCCTGGCAGCCCCTCGAGGTGCTCTGGTGTACGCTGGGGTGCCGGCCAGGCAGACAGGGCTGCCACCTTCCCTGCATTCACAAAGTCTCAGCCCATCGGCTCCCAGTTTCCCCTGTGCGAGGAGATGGGGGTAGCAGGGATTCCGTGGTGCTGGCAGCTGTGTGGTCAGAGGGTACTTAAAAAGGAGGTTTGTAGATAAAAGCAAATCTCTGATGAGGCTGAAATCTTGCTACTGATTGTGTAGCAGAGCTGGTCAGTCAGGGTGGTGGGGCAGACTCACCCAAAGATGCCCTGCCTTGTTTCTCTCAAAGGATCGTGTTCTTTTTTTGCCCGTTTATGGAACAAACAGAGCCAGGCCAGCCTGGATTTCCTCCCCTCACAGCGCTGTGATTCAGGGCTGCCTTGGCTTTCATTTGTACAGTCCTCTTAAAGAGATGGGTCTGATTAAACACACTCTGAGTGATGCTGGTGGCACTGCCTTGTCTTTATTGGGAAGAGCTCGGTACCCCAGCGAGGTGGTGCAGAACTGGGGAGCTGGAGAAGGGCATCCCTTCCCCTGTCTGAGTTCTCTTTCCCACCTTAGATGTTGTAGGGCAGGAGGAGTGCAGCTACACAGGTGGGTAAACCTGTGGAGATGGCTTCTCCCAACCTCCATCCAAGCACATGGACCTCAGTCTCCTTCCTTTCACTCCCTGGAGAGCACATACCTGGTGTGGATGGTTGGAGCAAAAGTAGATCTGGGGTTGGGGCAGACACACAGTGGTGTCCTGGTAACCAGGCTGTGGAGAGACTCCACTTTCTGCTGGGCTCTGCAGGGCGCTTTGTGTATCCCCACTGACATGTTTAAATCTCCAAATACCAACACATTCCTGCCGTGGCAACTGCCTGTTCTCAGCTCTGGTTCTCAGTAACTTTTTATCTGAGGTTCCCCCCTTCCTCAGGAAATAAGAGCCTCCAGCAAACAATGGAGATTGTGCTGAAATGTCAATGCTGAAACGAAATGCTGAAATGTTACCAGCTACACCCAAGCTCCTTGAACTCTCCTCCCACCCTGAAGGGTTCTGGGGTCTGGTTAAAGCCTGGAACAGGTTGCCCAGAGAAGCTGTGGCTGCCCCATCCCTGGAGGGGTTCAAAACCAGGTTGGAGGGGGCTTTGAGCAACCTGCTCTGGTGGGAGGTGTCCCTGCCCGGGGCAGGGGGTGGCACTGGATGATCTTTAAGGTCCCTTCCAACCCAAACCATTCTGTGATTCCATGAATTAGCTGGTGAGGTGGCGACAGTGGGAGTGCAGGTGTCCTGCGGCGCCAGGCAGACACAGGTTGTGTTATGCCTCTCTCTTGGTAAGAATTTGCAGATTCAGCCCAAAGAAATGTTTTAGGGGCTGAACCTATGCAGGACTACATGGGGAGTTGTGATAAATCTCCAGTCACCTCCTGGGTCCCAGGGACACTCTGGGGGGTGGCTCCGAGGCCACCTGTGATACAGAAACTGCTCTGACCCCCGCAGCAGCCTGCTGGCAAGCCCCTGGCTGCCACACGGACCTGCTCCCTGCTTGTCCTCGCAGGTGGAAGCAGAGCCGTGGGTGTGGGGAGGCTGTGGAACCATAAACTGAGGCTGGGAGCCTGAGCACAAGTGATAGCACGTCTGCACGGGCAAGGAGATAAGGTTTGGACTGGAAGCTTGGGAGCTTTTTCTCCTGAAACTGAACTGTACGAAATCAAGGTGAAGGTGGCACCACAATCGCCTCTGGGCAGAAGCCTCCACCTGCCACCTGAGCAGGGACTGATTGCCCAGATAATGCCCTTACTGTGTTTTGTGGCACAAGGAACTTAGCAGGAAAAGGAGCAGTGGAGTGAGCCTGGGGCCATGCGAACAGCAGGAGCTGTGGTTTAAAATGGAAAGATAAAGAGGGCAGGATGTGCCCTGGCCGGCTGTTGGCATGTGTCACAGCCCTTATCACTGCAGAGGGAGGTGACAAGTGGCTGCAGCAGCAGTGGGTGCCCCTCTCTGCTGGTTCCCAGGCTGGCAGCGCTGTACTGGGGTCTCTCTGCCATGGGGGACCACCATGCTCTGCCCAGGGACCCATCCCTGGCAGAGGTGAGGATGCCAGGAAGTTCCTTCAAAGGGCAAAAAAGGAGCGAAATCAGATTATACATCGTACGTGTGCCCGTGCAAAGGTGTTCGCAGACATCCACCTGGCTCTGAACCTTGTGGTGTGTCTCCCTGTGCTGTCCCTGCAGCGTTTCATCCTCCCTGGAGCCTCCTGCTCTGCTTTGCTGCCCTCCCTGTCCCCGGGGGCAGCAGCTCCAACCCTGCCCAGCCTGTGGCACAGCCAGCGGGGCGATGGGGATGCCCACTGGGTGTCTCTTTAAGAGCACGCCTGGCTCGGAGCCCTGACCCGCCTCTGTGCTCAGCGTCACCATATCTTCCTCCTTTGCACAGCCGAGTTTCTATTTCCCCGGCTTCTTTCTGCCCCCGTCACCTTGATCCCTGGCACAAGCATGATGGCATCGCCCGTCCTGCAGAAGCTGGAGTGCTCCATCTGCCTGGAGCTCTTCAAGGTGCCCGTCACTTTGCCCTGCGGGCACAACTTCTGCAAGACCTGCATCAGCGACCACTGGGACAAGCAAGAGCGGGTGCCCACCGGGGCCGAGAAGGGCTACAGGTGCCCCCAGTGCCGCAGGGACTATGAGCAGCGCCCGTTCCTGGAGAAGAACGTCACCCTGTGCAGCGTGGTGGAGCTGGCCAGGGATGGAGAGGCACGGGCCCCCGGCACGGAGAGGTGCGAGGTGGCCCCGGGCGAGCTGTGCTCACAGCACGGGCGCCCGCTGGAGCTGTACTGCCAGGAGGAGCGGCGGTGCATCTGCTGCGTCTGCACCGTCCAGCAGTGCCAGCGGCACCGCCGGGTGCTCTTAGAGGAGGAGCGCTCCAAAAAGCAGGTTGGAGAGATGATGGGTGGCAGGACGGTGCGGGGGTGGGAGCAGGGGGGAGCGACGGCAGCTCGGGCATATCGCAACATCTGCCCCTGATGTCCCATGCCCTGCTGTGGGGATGTGGTGTGCCTCCGTGTGCTGAGCTGTGCCCGGTCTCAGCTGAACAGGAGGCTGGCACGGGCTCTGGGCAGGGTGATGATGCCAGTGCCAGGCTGCTCCCCAAGAAATTGGGGGCCATCAGGAGCAGCAGAGAGCTGGGTAAATCCAGCAGCTCCAGGTGAACAGTGTCATATGTGTTTGTGACCTCATGATTTAGAGGAAACAGCTAAAAATGGGTGAAAGACAGCACAGGGAGGGTTTTACTTAGTGAGCCTGGTGGCAGCCTCTCCCCTTCCCAAGCTTTCTCCTTCCCTGCAAGCCTTGTCCTGCAGCCCTGAGAGGGCTCCTGGGGGCAGCAGCACGCTGCACCGTGGGACGTTGGTGCCTTTCTTTGCAGGCTCTTTTGAAAGAGTCCCTGGAAAAAGCCCAGGAGGAATCAGAGAGGATCAAGCAGGTGATGCAGAAGCTGGAGGAGCAAACACACAGCATCAAGGTAAGACTGTGACCACCTCTGTGCTGGGTGTGCAGGTGGGAGCGTGCTGGCTCTCACGGCTTTTCCCCACTCAGATCTCCTCTGAGGAGCTCAAATCCACGATTCTGAGCAAGTTTGCCCTCCTGAAGAAAGCCCTGGAGGATTGCCAGTGGCAGACAGTGGCCAGGATTGAGCGAGAGCAGGCGGCAGTGCTGGGACGCATGGAAGAGGACTGGAGCCTCCTGAAGGACCACCTGGACCACCTCACCCAGCATGAGGAGAGGGCTCAGCGCCTGCTGGCCTGCCCCAACCACAGGACCTTCCTCCAGGTACCACCATCCCCTCTAACTGTGAGCTTTTGATGAGGACAAAGATGAGGTCAACCCCTTCTCCAGGGGGAGACACGTCCTCAGCCCGGCTCAGGGATGATGGCACAGGGCTGTGGGGAAGAGCTGCTTTTGTGGGGGTTACTGAAAAGTTGGGGTGGTGATGCTGAATCAGAGTGGACGGTGCTGCTCATGGGGTCATGGGCAGCATCTGCCACCTTGAAACTGCTCATCAAGGCTCTTCCACCACCAGCAAAACACAAAGTCCTGTGCCACAGCCCCTCTGCAACTGTCCCCTGGCCCCATGTGCCAACCGCAGCTAATGGCCAATGTTTTGGGAATGCCCCTGTCACCCACCATGGAGAAGGGATGTGTGTGGACGGGTTTTGGAGCTGCAAATCCTCCCCAGGCCAGTGCATGGGTGTCTGTGCGTCCATCCACAGGAGTTTCCCCTGCTTCCATCTCTGGAGAGCCCAGAGGTGGTGGTCCCCACGGAGTTCAGTGCAGCCAACACAGTCAAGCCCATCGCTGAGATCCTTACCGACGTCTCCAGGCTCCTGCTGGAGGACTTGCCCGGCTCTGTGGCCTCTGAAGCCCCTGACCCCGTTGGCCAAGGTAAGCCCTCTGCTTGCCAGGCCACCCCGAAGGGCTCCAAGTCACCCTGAACCACAGTCTGGCTGGTGTCACCGGGATGGGGACAGGGCTGCTGGGTGTAGGGGGTTGGGATGGGGACACGCATCTACTGTATCAATGGGGTGGGGTGAGCTGGGTGGCTTCCCTATGGCCCCTCCTTGATGGCAATGCCAAGCAGCTGTGCCATGTGCCCACTCCCAGGCTTGGATACGATGGATTTCCTCCTCCTCCTCCTCCCATCAAAGCTGGGTAGGGACAAGTTTTTGGGTGTTGTCACTCAAAATGCCTGTCCCCATCCTCTACAGGCCTGGTGCAGCCCAAGGAGCCAGCAGTGAAGGTGGTGGCCCCTCTCCCTGCGTGCCAACTCCGAGATAAGCTTCTGAAGGGTGAGGAGCACACGGGGGGGAGTGGGAGAAGAGCACCCCACTGGGGTCCCCAGCAGGCGGAGGTTTCACCAGGCTGAGCCCTTCCCCAGGAGGAGGGTGGTTGTGGCTGTGGTGAAGGGTGCTCCTTCCCTGATTCTCCTAATTCCTCTCCCTAAATGTGGTGAAGAGATGGACAGGCTGGGGGACATCAAGTGGCTGGGAAAGGGCTCCTTAGGGGGTGAGCAGCACCGGGCATCACTTTCTTGTGGAAACAGAGGTTGCTAGTGCCTGGCATTGGGTCAGTTGCTGACCCAGATCTTGCCCCAGATCCTGTTCCATCTTCTCTTTTTCACCCACCTTGGGCGTCTCGCCCGGGCAGGAACGACGTGCCTGTTCCCAAGGATCCATATTTAGACACAGCACTTTCCCACAGGCAGGCAGGCAGCATCAGAGGAGGCTTGGATACGATGGATTTCCTCCTCCTCTTCCTCTTCCTCCCATCAAAGCTGGGTAGGGACAAGTTTTTGGGTGTTGTCACTCAAAATGCCTGTCCCCATCCTCTACAGGCCTGGTGCAGCCCAAGGAGCCAGCAGTGAAGGTGGTGGCCCCTCTCCCCGCGTGCCAACTCCGAGATAAGCTTCTGAAGGGTGAGGAGCACATGAGGGGGAGTGGGAGAAGAGCACCCCACTGGGGTCCCCAGCAGGTGGAGGTTTCACCAGGCTGAGCCCTTCCCCAGGAGGAGGGTGGTTGTGGCTGTGGTGAAGGGTGCTCCTTCCCTGATTCTCCTAATTCCTCTCCCTAAATGTGGTGAAGAGATGGACAGGCTGGGGGACATCAAGTGGCTGGGAAAGGGCTCCTTAGGGGGTGAGCAGCACCGGGCATCACTTTCTTGTGGAAACAGAGGTTGCTAGTGCCTGGCATTGGGTCAGTTGCTGACCCAGATCTTGCCCCAGATCCTGTTCCATCTTCTCTTTTTCACCCACCTTGGGCGTCTCGCCCGGGCAGGAACGACGTGCCTGTTCCCAAGGATCCATATTTAGACACAGCACTTTCCCACAGGCAGGCAGGCAGCATCAGAGGATGTGTCCAGAGGAGAGCCACCAAGCTGGTGAGGGGTCTGGAGAACAAGTCATACAAGGAGAGGCTGAGGGAACTTGGCATGTTTAGTTTGGAGACGAGGAGGCTGAGGGGAGACCTCATTGCCCTCTACAACTACCTGAAAGGAGGCTGTAGAGAGGTGGGGGTTGGCTTCTTCTCCCAAGTGAATAATGACAGGACCAGAGGAAATGGTCTGAAGTTGGGGCAGGGGAGGTTTAGATTAGATATTAAGAAGAATTACTTTATTACAGTGGTCAGGCACTGGAACAGCCTGCCCAGGGAGGTGGTGGAGTCACCATCCCTGGAGGTATTTAAGAAATGTGTAGACGTGGCTCTTCAGGGCATGCTCTAGTGCCCAAGATTATTGGTTTGTGGGTGGGTGGGATGTGATGGGGTGTTGTGTTTTTTGTTTTGTTGTTGGTGTGTTTGGGTTTTTTGTTTGGTTTTTTGTTGTTTTTTTTTTAAGGTCAGACTCGGTGATCTCAGAGGTCCCTTCCAACCATGGTGCTTCTGTGATTCTATGTTTAGGGCATGTTGGTCAGGTCGCTGTTGCCAGGGAGGCAATGGATGCCTATGGGACGTGTAGGGATTCCTTCCATCAGGCCCCAGAGAACATTCTCAGGGTTATTAATAGGAAAAAAAATAAAAATGTTATTTCTGAGCAGCAGGCATGAGCTCAGCAGAGCTGGCCAGGCTGGGCTGTTGCAGGAGGAAGGTGAGGTGGTTGTGGCTGGTGACAGCCCGAGGAAGGAGGAGCGCAGCCCACGCAGAGGAGCCTAACTCCCCCCAGTACCCTATTTGCTCACGTAATGCCTGGTTTTTTGGTTTTCTCCCCCTCTCTCTACCCATGCTAATAGTTTTTTGCTCTTAAAATCAAGCACATCTCTTTCAAAACACCCCCAGAGCCACCGCTGCGTGTGGCTGGGAGCTGGGCTGTGCGAGGGCTGCACCGAGCGCTGCGTCTCGGTGTCTCGCCAGCTATTTCTGGGCTGTTTCCGTTCCTTTGAGCAGGTGGTTGGGCAGATATCTCATCATCTCATCTCACCTCACCCCGCTCCCCTTCCCCCCCAAACACGTTACTGCTTTTTGCCTTCTCTTTTGGGAGCCAGTCCTACACAATTTAAACTATGTCGCTCTTGGGAGGGGTGCACACCAAGGTCTGATGAAGCATTTCAGCCCCGTCCTTGCCATTCCTCTTTCCAGACCACCGCAACCTGACCTTCGATCCCAAGACAGCCAACAAGCACCTGAAGCTGTCGAGAAGTAACCGGAAAGCCAAGCACAGCCCCGGTGCCATCTGCGGGCAGATGGAGCAGGGACCCCGCTTCAAGCCCTGGCAGGTGCTGTGCACGCAGAGCTACGGCCACGGCCACCACTACTGGGAGGTGGAGGTCTCCAGCCACTCTGTCGTCCTGGGGGTGACCTACCACAGCCTCCCCTGGGAACTGCAGCAGGGCCAGAAATTCAACATTGGGCTGAACGGGGGCTCCTGGGGGCTGCAGGTGCTGGAGGATTGCTACCTGGCCTGGCACAAGGGCCAGAAGGAGAAAATCCGGGAGCGGCTCTATAAGAACCTGGGGGTCAGCCTGGACTACGGCAAGGGGGTCCTCTCCTTCTACGGCCTCGGGGAGACGATGCAGCTCATCTACTCCTTCCACAATGTCTTCACCGAGCCCCTCTACCCTGTTTTTTGGCTGTGTGAGGGGCGGACGGTGGTGCTGTGCCAGCGGGAATGAGCCGGAGCTGCCGTGCTGCTCCGTTAGCCGGGCCGGGACCCGGGCTGGGACCATGGCCAAGCTGCAGCTGGGGCCATCACGGTGCAAGTGGGATCCCAATCCCAAGATGGAGTGAGGTGCAGTGTTTTAACAAGAGCTGAGACGGCCTGACATGCAAATTAACCCACTCTGATTTGCATATGCAGATATCACAGTGACAGAAGTTGGGGCAGAGAAAAGGATCCTGGCCGTGGGGACGAAGCCCATGGTCACTCTGCCTGGGGGACACATGCAGGTGGCCTGTTCCTCCAGATGGGGTGAGGGAAGGGGATAGTGAGGGTGCAAGAATTGGGTTTTTCCTCTTGCTTCTATCCCTGCCAAACCTCCCAAGGCAGGAGAAGATTTGGGGTGAGGGAGACCCTGGAAGGGGGGGGTCCTTCATCCATGGGGTGGTATGGAGTGATGCACAGCAAGCCCTGCGCTCCCCCAGCCCCACATGCAGGCTGGTCTTGCTCCACCAGTCCCTCCCAGTCCTCTCTTGCCCCCCCAGTCCCTCCCAATCCTTTCTTGCCGCTCTCGGATGTGGCAGAGCACCACTTTAGAGTGCTGTATACGAAGCTGCTTTCCATAATAAAGCTCTATTTTCCTACTGGTTTGACTTTGGTGCTGGTGGGTGAGCTGGGTGCCCCTGCTCCCACACCCATCCCCTCAGGACCCCATCCTGCCCCTTTTGTGGGGCTGGCAGCGGGGAGCAGCCCCAGGTAGTGACCCACGTGGCGGCAGAAATGAAAGGTGCTTTATTGAGAGCGGAGCTGCCGCGATAAGGAAGCCTGGTTCCCCAACGGCTCTGGCTCCGAGGTCGCTCTGGCACGGAAGCAAATCCGAAGCTTTGATTGAAGCTTTTCCAAGGGCGAAACCACAGGTCTGGCATCTCCTGCCGCCCCCGCTGGGACACTGGGGAGGACTAACGGGGCGAAACTGGGCACTGGTTCAAAGGTGGTGGAGACACGTGGATGAACCTGTGGGGAACGAATTGCATCAGCTGGTTTCCTTTGGGGGAAAAGGGCTTAAAAGGATCGATCCCCCTTCTTTGGGGACAGATGCATTTTGTCTTGCTGCGCTTTCTCCTTCACCCCCCACCTCCCCTCTCCTCCCAGCCCTGTCCTTGGGTGGGACCTGGGACGGGCATGGACCTGGGAATGGATCCAAGCTGAAAACTTGTCTGTGCACCCTCCACAGGAGGAGGATCTGCTGTGTTTACCAGGCAGATCCTTCGACTAAAAGCACTTTGGTGTCTCCCCAGCCCCACTCCTGGTTGGTGCCTACCTCCTCCTGCCGGGGCCAGAGGAAGAGGGGAGAAGGTCTGAGCCAGGACCTGGGCACTGGAATGCTTTTTGGCCCTGGGAATGGCTGATGTGGGTCGATGGGCACAAGGGCTGGCAGGAATGGACTTGCAGCCATGTAATGGGGGGAGCTCGGGACCCTCCATGTGGCCCCCGGGTGGGGAGCAGCTCCTGGGGGGGGGCAGTGGGGTGCCAGCAGATTCTGGGGCAGCAGAGCCCGGGGGGGCAGAGGATGCTCGTAGGGGACAGCAGACCCCTGGGAGGGCGATGGGAACGGGCTGGCAACAGCTTCTCAGGACAGAAGATTTGGGGGGTGCCCTGGGGGCAGCAGACCCACGTGATGGGTCCAGATCCCAGTGGGGCCGATCCTTTAGGAGGCAGCAGACCCTGGGTGGGATGCCATCCACCCTCAGCAGGGTGACATCGTCCCGGGGAGGCGGGACACACACACACACACACACACAAATCTCCGAGAAGGCAGCAGATGCTGGGGAGGGGACCGGATGCCCGGCGCCGGGAGCAGATCCCGGGGGTGAGACCCCCCCCTCAAGGTGGGACGAGTGACTGGAGACCGCGCCCGGGAGCGCCCCGCCGTCCTCCGCCGAGGCGTTCCGGTTGGCGTTGGCGGCTCCGGGATTGCCCGACGGTCCTTTCTGTTGTCCCATCTGCCTCGACCTCCTGAAGGACCCGGTGACGGTACCCTGCGGTCATAACTTCTGTCAAGGTTGCTTGGGGGCTCTCCGTCAGCGCCCGGGCCCCCCCGACGGCAGCGGGGGGGCGGGCGGGGCTGCCCGCTGCCCGCTCTGCCAGGAGCCCGTCCCCGCAGCCTTGCGGCTCCGCAAGAACCGCGCCCTCTGCGAGGTCCTGCCGCTGCTGGCAGCCGCCGCCGCCGCCACCGCTTCGTCCCCTTCATCCCCGACCCCCCCGTCCCCCCCGATGGCACCGGGAGCCGAAGAGGAGGATGCGGCGGGGGAGGAAGGAGCGCCGGTGCTGTGCGACGTCTGCCCGCCGGAGTCTCGGGCGGCGGCGGCGCGGTCGTGCCTGGTTTGTTTGGCTTCTTTCTGCGGAGCCCACCTGGAGCCCCACCGGCGGGCCCCCGCCTTCCGCGCCCACCGCCTGGTAGCCCCGTTGCGGCGGCTGGAAGAGGGGCTCTGCCCCCGCCACCTCCAGCCCCTCGACGGCTTCTGCCGGGTCGAGCAAACCTGCGTCTGCGCCCGCTGCAGAGCCCACGAGCATCGCGCCCACGACGTGGTGCCCCTCGAGAAGGAGCGTGAACACAAGGAGGTGGGTGGGAAGGGGTTTGGGGGGGGGTGTAGGGGGGCGGTGCGTGGAGGACCCCAGGTGAGGATCGTCCCGGCACTGGTGGGATGCGGTGGGTGGGTGGGGAGGATGCTGCGCCCCTGTCCCCACGCGGGACCTAACCCTGGCGTGGGGGCGGCCGTATGGGGTGCGGTGCTGGTGGGGCGTCCTGGGTGGGGTGAGGTGTGGGAGCTCTGGTCCGTGCTGCACCCACGTCCCCACGGGGGACCTAATCCCCACGGGGGACCTAATCCCCACATGGGAGGTGTTGCAGGTGCAGCAGTGTGGGGGGATGCTCTATGTGGGGTGGGGATGGTAATAGATTCTGGGGCAGCAGATCCTGGGGGGGCAGAGGATGCTGGGGGGGGGGCAGAGGATGCTCGCGGAGGGCAACAGATCCCTGGGAGAGGGATTGGAATGTGCTGACAACAGCCTCCCAGGACAGGAGAAGATTTGGGGGGTGCGCAGGGGCAACCCCCGGGGGCACCAGACCCCCAAGGAGGGTCAGCATGGCCCCCTGGCACAGGGGAGGGGGGGATGCTGTGCCATCAGGGCACCCTGTGGGGTGGGGACAGGACGGACAGACCAGGACTGGCATTAGGGGCAAACCCGCTGGGTCTGGTCCTGCTGTGGGGCTGAACTCTCAGTCCCAGTGGGTGTAGGGGTGGGGAGGAGGGTGCCTGGGACACCCCGCAGTGGCCTCCCCCGCGGTCACGGGGCACCCGTCTGCTCCGTCCCGTTCCCACAGCTCCCTCAAGGCGGTTTTTCTCGGCGCGCTGGCAGCCTGCCCGCTCCCGCTCCACCAGCCCTTTGTGTCCTGATGGTTTTTGGCAGCAGGGTTTTTGCTTGGGTTTTTTTTTTTCCGTCACTCCCATTCCCAGATGCAGCTGAGTCACCTCCCAAATTCGCACCCACGAGCCTCCCCCCCCGGGAGCCGGGGCTCCGAGCCCCATGTGGTGCTGCCGCCTTGGGCACTGCTGCCTCGAGTGCGTGGGGCCTCTGCACGCTGCAGGCAGATGGGAGTCTGTGGGGCTCGCAGCGTCGTGGCATCCCCGTGTCTGCGTGGGGCATTTGGAGACCTTGGAAGGGTTTGTTTTTTCCAGGGGAGAGCCCGGGGGCTGCGGACACTCTGGTGGGGAGCACAGTGGCAGCCCCGAGCCAGCTCCCACTCTCGTGTGGGGCCTTG